TGCAGTTTGGATGAGGAAAACTAAGGGTTAAATGTTCAAAAGAGTTGAAAGTATTAACTGCCTTTGGAGTAATCAGTAAGTATGCTCACATAATCCTCTTGCTGCAGCCAGGTTTCTGTAAGGCAACACAAGTCAATGTGATTATCACAAATCAAGTCATTAACTAGCAGACTTTTAGAGGAAAGCGATCTTATGTTAAACAGACCACATTTAATCGATTTAACTTTTTCCCCAATTGGAGTTATTTTTATTTTTATTAGATTATCATGATTTACTCCTTTGGGAATCTTTGCTAATTTATTAGATTTTGGTCGTGGGCAAGACACTGTCTGGATGGAATAAAGAGTGGGTAACAGTAGAGAAGCTGCAGAGAGGTCTGTTAAACTAGGACTCTGCTTCCTGGTCTGCACCCTGGGGGCTCAGGGTTTTGGAGGACTAATAAATGTGGCCAGATTCCTAGAAAGAAGAGCTGCACCATCCAGAGTGGGATGGATGCCGTCTCTCCGAATCAGACCAGGCTTTCCCCAAAAGGATTGCCAATTATTAATTTAGCCCACGTTGTTTTCAGGACACCACCGAGACAACCAGCGGTTGAATGACGACATGCGGCTAAACATGTCATCACTGGTCAGATCAGGGAGGGGACCAGAGAAAATTACAGAGTCCCACATTGTTTTGGCAAACTTACACACCGAAGCAACACTAATGTTAGTGACCTCCGATCAGCGTAACCGGGTGTCATTACCGCCAGCGTGAATAACAATCTTACTGTATTTAACCTTATCCTTAGCCAGCATCACAGATAGTGGTTATTGGATCAAGCCAAGGAGACATGAATGAAAAGATCCACCATCAAACATGTAAACCAGCAATGCTTCATTTGATAAATTCATATCTATAAGCACAGATCCAGAAGTTTGCTGTTCCTCAGAACCTAAATCATTTCAAGCCTTGAAACATTATTTCCAAAAATGTTTAACTACAGCTTAAGTCACAAGACATGTCCTGTAGAAGAGATTAAAGCTACATGACTCAGTTTACCAACTTTAAATACATGAGAATTTTCTCCTCACCACTTTATCCCATAGTTCCCATTTCATCGCCATAGCAGAGCCGCTTTCTGGGTAAATATTCACCCCAGTTTCTACCTCTTAACCCAAACTCAGCCTGGAAACTTCCATGGTTCCCGTTCTTGACTCCTGCTGTGTTTCTTTACACATCGGCCCGTTGATCCAAACAGCAGACGAAATCAATGGATCTAATTTGGATCACTAATACCTGAAGTGCTCTTTTATGTCTTTATCTTGGAGCTCATCTCTTCATTTATTGCACCATTTAGTACCGAGGTTGATGTTTTTTGAGATTCTTCAGGGTTATCCTAAGAGCAGTCTTTCTTTTTTTAAGGGATTTAATCCTTTATAACTCTTGTATTAATATTTAAGACTTTATTTTTGCCCCATGACTTCCCTCCATCGCTAATAAACCGTATAAGCACTGCAGCTTGAGCACTGAGAGTAAGAAAAAAAAGTTTTATTGTGATTCTCCTTTGCAAAGAGAATAAAACCTTTTCTTCTTACTCTCAGTGCTCAATTTTTACTCCACAAGCTCATGGTTTAGATTTGTAATTCCATTAAGCTTCTTCTTGATCTCATCGGTGAAAATAATCAGGTGGCAGATTTTAACTCTGGCTTCTGTCTTCAGTTGAGCTCAAAGGTTTTGCTGCTAAGTTTTAGAGCTTTTTTTTTGGTGACAACTTTCACTAAACTTTGTTCTAAATCTGTGATAAAAAGCCTCATTAGCATAAAAGTCATAAAAATGTGGTCTATTTCTGTCAACATGTGAAAGTTTGGTCGATATTATGTTTTAAAAAGAGTATTGAAAAGAGTTTATTTTTTTTTTAAACAAGACGTGGGTTAACCATGGTAAGTCTGGAGGAGCTGCAGAGAAGCAGAGCTCAGGGCATGCTCCCTGCACTGAGCAGATCTAGCTTTCATAGAACTAGTTCAGAAAGAGGGCTGTTGTTCAAGCAAAGCCAGCAGACGTACTGAGTGGTGCTTTCTGGAAGGCCTGTAGATGGCGACACATTTATAAACGTGTGAAACCTCCAGGTGGAAACCAGCCATAAACAGGAGAGCAAGTGGAGGCATATATGAATTTCCTTTTGGGGAGTAATAAAGTATAACTGAATTGAATTTCCTGGGAGCTACATGTTAGAATGGCCTAGTCAAAGTTCAGAACATGCTAAGAACAAATCTTTTACAGAACTCTGTAGAATCAAACGTTTCAGGCAGTAAAAAGAAAAACAATATTTTGTGTTCCAGTTTTTCTTGGTGCTCTTCCTCCTGATGCTGCTGGAGCTCACTGCTGCCTGCCTGATGCTCATTTATGAGGCGGAGGTGGGACTGACCTGCAAATGATCGAGTCATTAATGGATAATTCTGAGGATTAACTATAACCCACCTGTCTGTTCAGATTGCTAAACTAGTGAAAAAAGATCTCGAAGACGGTCTGGAAGCAGTGAGAACCTCCGGGAATTCAACTAAAAAGAGTGACTGGGATGTGGTCCAGGAGGGGGTGAGCAGAATCAGACAACCTTCTACCTTTCTGCTCAGATCCAGCTGTTGACCAACATTTCTCTGTAATCATGAAACAGTTCGAATGCTGCGGAGTCAATAACAGCAGCGACTGGAAGTCCTACATCCCCGATTCCTGCAAGGACACTAGAAAAGGGTCTGGGTACTGGACCGAGGTAAAGCCCACCTAGCAGCTCGTAGTCACCGACATTCTAAGACTGAAAAAAATGTTCTTCACATTTGCTGTTTGCAGGGATGTTTGAAAAAAATGACAAACTGGCTGGAAGAAAATTTCCTAAGTACTGGGATTGCTGTCATTGTTCTCTGCATCATTGAGGTAAGATCAAGGTGACAACGTTTTGTTGTAGAATATATATATAGAATACTATATATATTTGTAGATGATATTCTGTTTTATAGAATAGAACATATAGAATTTGACTTCCTGATCCAGTTGTAAAAATACAGTGATTTTAAACTTGAGTTTTTAATCAGACGGTAGGCAGAGGAGGAAGGAGGGAGAAATATGACTGATGGAGGAAAGTAGAGAGAAAAGCCTTTAGACCATCGATCCCACAGGAACCTTTCTTCCTTTAAAATTGGCTCAGAAACCAAAAGCTGCTGAAAGACGTTCCTGATTAGCGGAACTTGATCCACAGCAGGCGGGACCTGAACATGTCCTCCATCCCTGCAGGTCCTGGGAATGTGCTTCGCCATGACGCTCTTCTGCCACATCAGCAGATCCGGACTGGGCTACAAGTTATAACCGCTTCAGCTTTAAGCCTCGCTGTCGAGCAGAAGAAGCTAAAACATTCTAGAAAAGCTTTCATTGTATATTTTTAAAGCATCTGATGTAATTTCAAACTTTGTAAAGTGTTTTATGTCTGCAGCTTTTTATTTGAAATATTTGTTGAGATTCTGTCTTAAATCAGCTGATTGATCAATAAAGTTTTCTCTACAGAATCGTTCTGGATCCGATTCTCTTCTTCTTTCCGCATGACTGCGTTTCCTATCTGAGTCGCAGGTCAGCGATCTGAGGCTTAAAAAAACCCGAAAACAACCACTTCCCCTTTTTACCCCCCCCCCCCCCCCCCCCCCCCCCCAGGAATAACCGGATCACTGAGCAAAGAGACAGATTAATTTATTTCTCCTGCATCAATAGTTTAAGACCAACAAAAACTATTTAAAAAAAAAACTGGAATTTCATTTACACGTTCAAATTATTTTGTTCTGTTTTAAACCATCCAACAAAAATAAAAATACATTCCTGCATTTAAAAAATTTAACTGTACACAGCAGAAAACAGTTTATTGCAAACTGACCCCCGACACCCTGAAACTACGGAACTCACCTAAAGATATGAAAGAAAATAAAGAAACTAGTGATGGAGCCCCCCCGCCCCCGCTTCAGCCGCCCCGCTTCCTCTCTATGAAACCAGCAGCTGTGCCCCCCCCCTGCAGGTCCACCCAAATAGAGCCGTTCTGGAACCGCAGCTACAGTTCCTTCCTGCTTTACATAAATAACAGAAGCGCTGCCGTGGCAACGCCGAGCCAAAATGGCGGCTGAGTCTGAGGCAGTCAGTTTGTCTGTAAATAACAGCAGCCATTGGTGGTTTTTAGAGAGCAGCAGTTATTCTGTAGTGAAGAACTAGTTGTTGATCAGAAGGTCGCAGACTAGTTGGCGATCCTGGAGGCCAAGGAGCGGATGGTACCATGTTAGCAGGGAGGGACAAACACGTCAGGAGGAAACCATCTTCTCCTTCCTCAGAGAATACGCCCAGTGTGAAGATGGTTGTTGGTTCAATGCTAAAAGCCTTCACCATTAAAAAGCTGTTAACTGGAACCTGAACCTCAACCAGCAGCTGCATCAGGAAACCATCAGCTTCTTAAAAGCAAAGCTAAGGAGGTGGTTGGTGACCTGAGATAATTACCCTAACCTAGTAGTGACCCATTAACCTAGTTAAGACCCTAACCTTCAGCCCTTTTTCCCAGGTTGCTGCTCTGCCAGTAAACCTCCCAGAGCTGCAGTTTGTCCTGTGGTCCAGTAGATGGTGCCACTGAGCTGGAGCTGCTCAACAGAACCATGAGAGGAAGGAGAATGGATGGAGATACAGGGGGAGGAGAACCCTGACCAGAACCCTTTTACTGGACCCTGACCAGAACCCTGATCAGAACCCTGACCAGAACATGTCTCAGTAGTTTCCTGCTAGACGTCTGAACCCTGTCAGAGGCTAAAAACCTCGGTGATCTGCAGCCTGACGTCTGGAGAGATTTGTACAAAATCAAATAGGGAAAAAGAGCCGATGAGACTCTGGGATTAATCATCCAGACACTGAATGGAAGCAGAAACCTCAGAAACATCCAACTGTCAGACTGGTCCTGATCTCCATTTTCTAGCTTTGGTGAACCTGATGAAACCAAACATGGATCCATGATATCTGACTTTAATTCAGTCGATACATCTTCACTGAATATTAATCACATTTTTAGTCTGCTTCTCCAGAACCAAGCAGTTTGGATAAAGATCATCAAACCCTGCTGAGATCCTGAAGGTCTGGAATCAGTAAAGCTCCTGCAGACTGGATGGTTTGTTGATGGTAGTGAAAAAGGAAAAGCAGGAAGCTGCTGTGAGGATGGAGCAGCTGCCCCTCCCCCAGCTGTCCATCTGGAGGCCCGGATGTTGATGTGCTGCTGGATCTGCTTCAGAGCGGCAGCGTGACGCTCAACTGGGTGGATTTGCTGACCGCCCGGAGTCTCCTGGAGCAGAAGGTTCAGGAAGCCGGGGGGGTGGGGGGTGTCCAGTCAGTCCAGCCAGCAGTGGACATGGAGACAGGAGGCCTACAGGGGCATCAGCTTGGTGGTTTGGAACAGGAGGGGGTTGAGGTCCTCGGCCTGAACGGCCCGGTGGAGCGACGGCTCTGAGCGGCTTCGCTCGATTTTTGGCAGCAGTTCTTGGACCTGCTCGATGGCTACGAGGATCTGAGGAAGACGACATGAAACAGAGACACGGTTCAACGGGAGAAGAAAACTGATGTCCCCCTACCTCGGCCCTGACCCGGTACTACTGGGAAGGTCCCTCGCTCCTGGTCAGAACCATCCAGCAGAGTCTTTTGTCCCTTAGGACTAAAATCAACCATATGCAGTAAACTGTCAGGCAAATAGATCTAAAGCACAAAGTATTATCAGTTAAAGGAGCCTTCTTCCATCCAGGACATATCAACACTTAGCTTAGCTTAAACCTCAGATGAAACAGAAATACTTAAATGGTCCAAAAAAAACAAAAACTCTTCAAGAGGCATATCTTTTCTTTCTCCATTTTCAAAATGTTATTTTAAAGCAGCAAACCACCTTTCAGCAACTAGAGGCACTAGACCTGTACTTCCAGAATTAGCGCCCTCTGAGGGCCACTGGCAGCTACATAAATCAGTCTGACTTGGTGCTCTGGTTGTGACAGCAGTCCAGTTAGGACCAACAGACCAGTTAGGTTGGACCAACAGACCAGTTAGGTTGGACCAACAGGCCAGTTAGGTTGGACCAACAGGCCAGTTAGGTTGGACCAACAGGCCAGTTAGGTTGGACCAACAGGCCAGTTAGGTTGGACCAACAGGCCGGTTAGGTTGGACCAACAGGCAGGTTAGGTTGGACCAACAGGCAGGTTAGGTTGGACCAACAGGCCAGTTAGGTTGGACCAACAGGCAGGTTAGGTTGGACCAACAGGCCAGTTAGGTTGGACCAACAGGCCAGTTAGGTTGGACCAACAGGCAGGTTAGGTTGGACCAACAGGCAGGTTAGGTTGGACCAACAGGCAGGTTAGGTTGGACCAACAGGCAGGTTAGGTTGGACCAACAGGCAGGTTAGGTTGGACCAACAGACCAGTTAGGTTGGGCCAACAGGCCAGTTAGGTTGGACCAACAGGCAGGTTAGGTTGGACCAACAGACCAGTTAGGTTGGACCAACAGGCCAGTTAGGACCAAAAGGCTCGTTAAGTTGGACCAAGGGACCAGTTAGGACCAACAGGCCAGTTAGATTGGACCAACAGGCCAGTTAGATTGGACCAACAGGCCATTTAGATTGGACCAACAGGCCATTTAGATTGGACCAACAGGCCAGTTAGGTTGGACCAACAAAAGAGTTAGGACCAACAGGCCAGTTAGGTTGGACCAACAGACCAGTTAGGTTGGACCAACAGACCAGTTAGGTTGGACCAACAGACCAGTTAGGTTGGACCAACAGACCAGTTAGGTTGGACCAACAGACCCGTTAGGTTGGACCAACAGGCCAGTTAGGTTGGACCAACGGACCAGTTGGGACCAACGGACCAGTTAGTTGGACCAACGGACCAGTTGGGACCAACGGACCAGTTAGTTGGACCAACGGACCAGTTGGGACCAACGGACCAGTTAGTTGGACCAACGGACCAGTTGGGACCAACGGACCAGTTAGGTTGGACCAACAGGCCAGTTAGGTTGGACCAACGGGCCAGTTAGGTTGGACCAACGGGCCGGTTAGGTTGGACCAACAGGTCAGTTAGGTTGGACCAACAGGTCAGTTAGGTTGGACCAACAGGTCAGTTAGGTTGGACCAACAGGTCAGTTAGGTTGGACCAACAGGCCAGTTAGATTGGACCAACAGGCAAGTTAGGTTGGACCAACGGACCAGTTGGGACCAACGGACCAGTTAGGTTGGACCAACAGGTCAGTTAGGTTGGACCAACAGGCAAGTTAGGTTGGACCAACGGACCAGTTGGGACCAACGGACCAGTTAGGTTGGACCAACAGGCCAGTTAAGTTGGACCAACGGACCAGTTAGGTTGGACCAACAGGCCAGTTAGGTTGGACCAACAGGCCAGTTAGGTTGGACCAACAGACCAGTTAGGTTGGACCAACAGACCAGTTAGGTTGGACCAACAGGCAGGTTAGGTTGGGCCAACAGGCAGGTTAGGTTGGGCCAACAGGCCAGTTAGGTTGGACCAACAGGCCAGTTAGGTTGGACCAACAGGTCAGTTAGGTTGGACCAACAGGCCAGTTAGGTTGGACCAACAGGCCAGATAGGTTGGACCAACAGGCCAGTTAGGTTGGACCAACAGGCCAGTTAGGTTGGACCAACGGACCAGTTAGGTTGGACCAACAGGCCAGTTAGGTTGGACCAACAGACCAGTTAGGTTGGACCAACAGGCAGGTTAGGTTGGACCAACAGGCCAGTTAGGTTGGACCAACAGGTCAGTTAGGTTGGACCAACAGGCAGGTTAGGTTGAGCCAACAGGCCAGTTAGGTTGGACCAACAGGCAGGTTAGGTTGGACCAACAGGCCAGTTAAGTTGGACCAACAGACCAGTTAGGTTGGACCAACAGGTTGGTTAGGACCAAAAGGCTAGTTAGGTTGGACCAAGGGACCAGTTAGGACCAACAGGCCAGTTAGATTGGACAAACAGACCAGTTAGGTTGGACCAACGGGCCCGTTAGGTTGGACCAACAGGCCAGTTAGTTTGGACCAACAGGCCAGTTAGGACCAACAGGCCAGTTAGGTTGGACCAACGGACCAGTTAGGTTGGACCAACGGACCAGTTAGGTTGGACCAATGGACCAGTTAGGTTGGACCAACGGACCAGTTAGGTTGGACCAACGGACCAGTTAGGTTGGACCAACAGGCCAGTTAGGTTGGACCAACAGACCAGTTAGGTTGGACCAACGGACCAGTTAGGTTGGACCAACAGGCCAGTTAGGACCAAAAGGCTCATTAAGTTGGACCAAGGGACCAGTTAGGACCAACAGGCCAGTTAGATTGGACCAACAGGCCAGTTAGGTTGGACCAACAAAACAGTTAGGACCAACAGGCCAGTTAGGTTGGACCAACAGACCAGTTAGGTTGGACCAACAGACCAGTTAGGTTGGACCAACAGACCAGTTAGGACCAACAGGCCAGTTAGGTTGGACCAACGGACCAGTTGGGACCAACGGACCAGTTAGGTTGGACCAACAGGTCAGTTAGGTTGGACCAACAGGCCAGTTAGGTTGGACCAACAGGCCAGTTAGGTTGGACCAACAGGCCAGTTAGGTTGGACCAACAGGCCAGTTAGGACCAAAAGGCTCGTTAAGTTGGACCAAGGGACCAGTTAGGACCAACAGGCCAGTTAGATTGGACCAACAGGCCAGTTAGATTGGACCAACAGGCCAGTTAGGTTGGACCAACAGGCCAGTTAGGTTGGACCAACAGGCCAGTTAGGTTGGACCAACAGGCCAGTTAGGTTGGACCAACAGGCCAGTTAGGTTGGACCAACAGGCCAGTTAGGTTGGACCAACAGGTCAGTTAGGTTGGACCAACAGGCAAGTTAGGTTGGACCAACGGACCAGTTAGGTTGGACCAACAGGCCAGTTAAGTTGGACCAACGGACCAGTTAGGTTGGACCAACAGGCCAGTTAGGTTGGACCAACAGGCAGGTTAGGTTGGGCCAACAGGCCAGTTAAGTTGGACCAACAGGCCAGTTAGGTTGGACCAACAGGCCAGTTAGGTTGGACCAACGGACCAGTTGGGACCAACGGACCAGTAATGTTGGACCAACAGGTCAGTTAGGTTGGACCAACAGGCCAGTTAGGTTGGACCAACGGACCAGTTGGGACCAACGGACCAGTTAGGTTGGACCAACGGACAAGTTAGGTTGGACCAACGGACAAGTTAGGTTGGACCAACAGGCCAGTTAGGTTGGACCAACAGGCCAGTTAGGTTGGACCAACAGGCCAGTTAGGTTGGACCAACAGGCCAGTTAGGTTGGACCAACAGGCAAGTTAGGTTGGACCAACGGACCAGTTAGGTTGGACCAACAGGCCAGTTAGGTTGGACCAACAGGCCAGTTAGGTTGGACCAACAGGCCAGTTAGGTTGGACCAACAGGCCAGTTAGGTTGGACCAACAGGCCAGTTAGGTTGGACCAACAGGCAAGTTAGGTTGGACCAACAGGCCAGTTTGGTTGGACCAACAGGCCAGTTAGGTTGGACCAACAGGCCAGTTAGGTTGGACCAACAGGCCAGTTAGGTTGGACCAACAGACCAGTTAGGTTGGACCAACAGGCCAGTTAGGTTGGACCAACAGGCAAGTTAGGTTGGACCAACAGGCAAGTTAGGTTGGACAAGCAGGCCAGTAATGTTGGACCAACAGGTCAGTTAGGTTGGACCAACAGGCAAGTTAGGTTGGACAAGCAGGCCAGTAATGTTGGACCAACAGGTCAGTTAGGACCAAAAGGCTAGTTAAGTTGGACCAAGGGACCAGTTAGGACCAACAGGCCAGTTAGATTGGACCAACAGGCCAGTTAGGTTGGACCAACGGACCAGTTAGGTTGGACCAACAGGCCAGTTAGGTTGGACCAACAGGCAAGTTAGGTTGGACCAACGGACCAGTTAGGTTGGACCAACAGGCCAGTTACGTTGGACCAACAGGCCAGTTAGGTTGGACCAACAGGCCAGTTAGGTTGGACCAACAGACCAGTTAGGTTGGACCAACAGGCCAGTTAGGTTGGACCAACAGGCCAGTTAGGTTGGACCAACAGGCAAGTTAGGTTGGACCAACAGGCAAGTTAGGTTGGACCAACAGGCAAGTTAGTTTGGACAAGCAGGCCAGTAATGTTGGACCAACAGGTCAGTTAGGTTGGACCAACAGGCAAGTTAGGTTGGACCAACGGACCAGTTAGGTTGGACCAACAGGCCAGTTAAGTTGGACCAACGGACCAGTTAGGTTGGACCAACAGGCCAGTTAGGTTGGACCAACAGACCAGTTAGGTTGGACCAACAGACCAGTTAGGTTGGACCAACGGACCAGTTGGGACCAACAGACCAGTTAGGACCAACAGGCCAGTTAGGTTGGACCAACAGGCCAGTTAGGTTGGACCAACAGGCCAGTTAGGTTGGACCAACAGGCCAGTTAGGTTGGACCAACAGGCAGCTTAGGTTGGGCCAACAGGCCAGTTAGGTTGGACCAACGGGCCAGTTAGGTTGGACCAACGGACCACTTAGGTTGGACCAACGGACCAGTTAGGTTGGACCAACAGGCCAGTTAGGTTGGACCAACAGACCAGTTAGGTTGGACCAACAGGCAGGTTAGGTTGGGCCAACAGGCAGGTTAGGTTGGGCCAACAGGCCAGTTAGGTTGGACCAACGGGCCAGTTAGGTTGGACCAACAGGTCAGTTAGGTTGGACCAACAGGCCAGTTAGTTTGGACCAACAGGCCAGTTAGTTTGGACCAACAGGCCAGTTAGGTTGGACCAACAGACCAGTTAGGTTGGACCAACAGGCCAGTTAGGTTGGACCAACAGACCAGTTAGGTTGGACCAACAGGCAGGTTAGGTTGGGCCAACAGGCCAGTTAAGTTGGACCAACAGACCAGTTAGGTTGGACCAACAGGCAGGTTAGGTTGGACCAACAGGCAGGTTAGGTTGGACCAACAGGCCAGTTAAGTTGGACCAACAGACCAGTTAGGTTGGACCAACAGGTTGGTTAGGACCAAAAGGCTGGTTAAGTTGGACCAAGGGACCAGTTAGGACCAACAGGCCAGTTAGATTGGACCAACAGACCAGTTAGGTTGGACCAACAGACCAGTTAGGACCAACAGGCCCATTAGGTTGGACCAACAGACCAGTTAGGTTGGACCAACAGGCCAGTTAGGTTGGACCAACAGGCCAGTTAGGTTGGACCAACAGACCAGTTAGGTTGGACCAACAGGCAGGTTAGGTTGGACCAACAGGCAGGTTAGGTTGGGCCAACAGGCCAGTTAAGTTGGACCAACAGACCAGTTAGGTTGGACCAACAGGCAGGTTAGGTTGGACCAACAGGCAGGTTAGGTTGGACCAACAGGCCAGTTAAGTTGGACCAACAGACCAGTTAGGTTGGACCAACAGGTTGGTTAGGACCAAAAGGCTAGTTAAGTTGGACCAAGGGACCAGTTAGGACCAACAGGCCAGTTAGATTGGACCAACAGACCAGTTAGGTTGGACCAACAGACCAGTTAGGTTGGACCAACAGACCAGTTAGGACCAACAGGCCCATTAGGTTGGACCAACAGACCAGTTAGGTTGGACCAACAGGCCAGTTAGGTTGGACCAACAGGCCAGTTAGGTTGGACCAACAGGCCAGTTAGGTTGGACCAACGGACCAGTTGGGACCAACGGACCAGTTAGGTTGGACCAACAGGTCAGTTAGGTTGGACCAAAAGGCCAGTTAGGTTGGACCAACGGAGCAGTTGGGACCAACGGACCAGTTAGGTTGGACCAACAGGCCAGTTAGGTTGGACCAACAGGCCAGTTAGGTTGGACCAACAGGCCAGTTAGGTTGGACCAACAGACCAGTTAGGTTGGACCAACAGACCAGTTAGGTTGGACCAACAGACCAGTTAGGACCAACAGGCCAGTTAGGTTGGACCAACAGGCCAGTTAGGTTGGACCAACAGGCCAGTTAGGTTGGACCAACAGGCCAGTTAGGTTGGACCAACAGACCAGTTTGGTTGGACCAACAGGCCACTTAGGGTGGACCAACAGGCCAGTTAGGGTGGACCAACAGGCCAGTTAGGTTGGACCAACAGGCCAGTTAGGTTGGACCAACAGGTCAGTTAGGTTGGACCAACAGACCAGTTTGGTTGGACCAACAGGCCAGTTAGGGTGGACCAACAGGTCAGTTAGGGTGGACCAACAGGTCAGTTAGGTTGGACCAACAGGCCAGTTAGGTTGGACCAACAGGCCAGTTTGGTTGGACCAACAGGCCAGTTAGGTTGGACCAACAGGTCAGTTAGGTTGGACCAACAGGCCAGTTAGGTTGGACCAACAGACCAGTTTGGTTGGACCAACAGGCCAGTTAGGTTGGACCAACAGACCAGTTTGGTTGGACCAACAGGCCAGTTAGGTTGGACCAACAGGCCAGTTGGGACCAACAGGCCAGTTAGGTTGGACCAACAGGCCAGTTAGGTTGGACCAACAGGCCAGTTAGGTTGGACCAACAGGCAGGTTGGACCAACAGACCAGTTAGGTTGGACCAACAGGCCAGTTAGGTTGGACCAACAGACCAGTTAGGACCAACAGACCAGTTAGGTTGGACCAACAGGCCAGTTAGGTTGGACCAACAGGCCAGTTAGGTTGGACCAACAGGCCAGTTAGGTTGGACCAACAGGCCAGTTAGGTTGGACCAACAGACCAGTTAGGTTGGACCAACAGACCAGTTTGGTTGGACCAACAGGCCAGTTAGGGTGGACCAACAGGCCAGTTAGGTTGGACCAACAGGCCAGTTAGGTTGGACCAACAGGCCAGTTGGGACCAACAGGTCAGTTAGGTTGGACCAACAGACCAGTTTGGTTGGACCAACAGGCCAGTTAGGGTGGACCAACAGGTCAGTTAGGTTGGACCAACAGGCCAGTTAGGTTGGACCAACAGACCAGTTTGGTTGGACCAACAGGCCAGTTAGGTTGGACCAACAGGTCAGTTAGGTTGGACCAACAGACCAGTTTGGTTGGACCAACAGGCCAGTTTGGTTGGACCAACAGGCCAGTTAGGTTGGACCAACAGGCCAGTTAGGTTGGACCAACAGGCCAGTTGGGACCAACAGGCCAGTTAGGTTGGACCTAGTTTGGACCAGCGGAGCATAGCGAGGTGGTGATGGAGGATTTCAGGGTTACAGGCATCTAAAGCTTCCCTCAGCACCGCCGCCGCACTCCACCCAGGCTGCACCTGCTGACCTGGCTTGCAGCTCACCTGGTGACCAATGGAGATGCAGGCTGTGTGACCCACCTGTGGAAAGAGGGGCCTCTCCTCCCGTATGAACTTCAGGCAGTCGATGATGAGCCTCTTCATGGACTTGGGTGACGTACTGTACAGTTTACTGAGGTCTGGAGACAAGTAGCCGCGTCCAACCATGAAGAGTATCTGATGAACAAAAACCACCATCATCCATCAGAGACTGCATTTCCTCTGCAGCATGTCGACAGGAAAACAGGCAAAACTGTAAAGCCTTAGAACTGAGAAGATTCTATTCTATGTACATTCACATTTACTGACTGATTGAATGACTTTATTTACACTAAATGGCCTAAAAGAGGCTATGCTTTCGTCGAATAATGATTTATTCATTTTGTGGGCTGGTTTTAATACTGGTGAACATTTAGCAATTAGAACATTTGAAATTCCTGTGGAACCAACTCCCAGTTTTAGTCCGTGAGGCAGACACCCTGTCTACTTTTAAGGCTAGGCTTAAAACTTTCCTTTTTGATAAAGCTTCTAGTTAGAGTGGCTCAGGTTATCCTGAGCTATCTCTATAGTTCTGCTGCTATAGGCTTAGACTGCTGGAGGACATAGGGACCCCTTTTTCATCATTCTGCTTCATTCTCTCTCTATTCTCCCACTCTGCAGAATCTATTAGTTCAATCTCTAACGTTCTGCTCTCTCTGCTTTTTCTCATAGTAGCTTCATCTGGTCTGTTCCTGTTTGGCTGTGACTCCATCCTGGAGAGAAATATCAGCTGTGCTGCTGCCATCAACACCTTTGTTTCTAGATGTTGGAGCTTGGCCTGTTTTCCAGTGTAGTCCTGTTTCTCTGACTGTGACTAACTGGATGTGCTCTCTTCATCCTCTGACATGGGAGCTGGCTCGGAGCTCGTCTGCCTGGCTGTGTGTTTCCTGGACGGGGCCGCCTGTGGAGCTGGTTGACAGTTGCCTTTTGTATCTATGCTTCTTTTTCTATGTCTGCTTCTGTCTCCTTGAACCCCAGTGGGCCTCAGCAGATGGCCGCTCACACTGAGCCTGGTTCTGCTGGAGGTTTCTTCCTTTTAAAAGGGAGTTTTTCCTCTCCACTGTCGCTACAAGCATGCTTAGTGTGAGGGATTGCTGAAGAGTCAATGAGTCGATGCAATCAGCTGGTTTTCCTTAGATAGAAAACTTTGAATCAATCTGACTGGATGATCTGGTTCAGTTATTTCTGTAAAGTGATCTGATGTGAAACAGATCAAATGTTTTTTATAAACCAAACATTAACCGCCACATATCGAACCATTTCAATTAACTTTTTTCATTCACTTCAGACGAAACTATTCACATTCTAGGTCTGGTGGTTAGACAATGTCCATGTGCTCTGAGAAGGTTGCATTACGTGGTTCGACCCCCACAGCCTCCACTCCTGGTCCCCCAGCAAGACCTGCTCCCTGGGCGCCGCACAATGGCAGCTACTGCTCCAGTTAAATGCAGAGAGTGAATTTCCCCATTGTGGGACAAAAAAAAAAGAATTTACATACGCGCACTAAACCGCACTTCCAATTTTCGCCACTGTTCGGCGCCATTTCCCAGAGCAGCCAGGTTGCTTAGACTGGCAATGAATCATGGGATACCCAAGGCTATGGAGGATACAGTGGACCGGTCCTTCAAAACGGGCAAAAAGGAGGATTGGCCGCATAACGAGGAGTCTTCCAATCAGAACAGGCCTCGGCGCCGTGCTGTGACATCATTGCCCGATGAATCTGGCCTTTGGAGGACGCAACCGCTGGATTCAACTCGGCATGGAGGACCATGTCAGCCATCCCTCATCGGGAGGTGCCTCAAGGTCACCAAACGAAGGGGGTCAGAGCCTCGGTTCATTGGACCTCCTCAGGTGGTGCAAAGAACCTCCGATGCTTCAAGATTGAACGAGCGATGCCTGATTTCACTAGAGTAATGATCTCTGGCACAGGAACCAGGATAGATGTACAGAAAGCAGGTCAGAATCCCCACTGATCTGCTATTTGACCCACAGGGAGTCAACCTGAAGACCTGCTGCTATTGGTTATTTACCATCTACAACTGATCATCGTGCATTAATGAAAGATTAGCACCAAACCTGATCTCTGTTGTTGATGTTGGAATAAGGAAGTGTTCCTGACATCAGCTCAAACAGAACCACTCCGTAGCCGTACACATCAGACTGGAAGGTGTAGGGGTTACTGTCCTGCATCCGGATGACCTCAGGGGCCTGAAGACAGGAAGGACAAATAATCTGAATAACTGTCAACAAAGAGGGAAAACAGCAACCATCTTGGTCAGGTTGACCTTCAGCTCTGTGGAAAAATGAAAAAATGCACCAGAAAGAGCAAAGAAGGAGATTCAGGTCATCAGGGAAGGAAGAGAGGAAACGAGACAGCAGAGACGAGGCCGCCATCTTTACCCAGGTTACCTGGAGGACTGCTGATTTAGCGGATATTCTGATTGACACAGGGACAGATATGAAAGCTCAGAAGAAGTTATCTCTTTCTGTTGGACTGCAGTGAAATCTAAGGCTATAAGAGTGGAGCTTTTAACAAGGTTAGTGGGTTTAACCCTCTTCTGAAGCTGAGGCATTCAGTCGCTACTGGATTCTAAAGAAAGGTTGCTTTGGTGGGATGAACAACCTACCATCCAGAGAATGGAGCCGCTGGGCTGCTCCACCTGCTGCGAGCCACTCCATCGGTACTTGACTGTGGCCAAGCCGAAGTCTCCGATCTTCACAGTCCAGCCCTCATGGAGGAAAATATCTGAGAGAGGAGCTGAGAAAAAAGAACGGCAGCTGCAGGTGGGTCATCTAACCCACCCCAGAAGAAGATAGGTCAATGCTAATGCTAGCCTAGCCAGCAAGAACAGATTCTACATATTTACACCAGTTTATGCCAGAGGAACAGACTGGAGGAGAAATGAACATCCTGCTGATCATCAATGGCTCTACTGATGAAACACAAACATTATCTGCTAATAATGAGAGAAACAAGGATACTGTTGGATTTTAGGTCTCGGTGAATGATGTTCTTTGCATGAAGGTAGCTGTGGAAGATAAAGAAAATTCAGTCCTTCTGTGCAGCTTGGTAATTCAGCCACATGTCAATAATATCCTAAACGGGTCTATGCAGCAGAAGACACCCTGATGTTTCACACAGACGGGTAATGAGGACTTACTCCATGCCCTGCGCCGTCTGTCTGGCCACATCAATGCGACGCACCGTGTCAAACTTGGTTTCTGAGACATGCAGATGGCGGTACAAGCTGCTACCTTCACACCACTGGGTGATGATGGCGAAGTTGGGTTTAGTCATGAAGCCCATGAACAGCAGGATGTTGACGTGGCGAGTTTTCCTGCAGAGCACAGCAAGAAACATTGGTTTAAGCTCAGCAATCAATCATTGATCAGTCAGCGATCAGTCAGCAATCAGTCAGCCACCAGTCAGCGATCAATCAGCAATCAGTCATTGATTAGTCGGAGATCACTCAGTCATCAATCAGTGATCAATCGGTCATTAGTCAGCAACAAATCAGCATGAGTCATCAGTCAGCGATCAGTCAGCGATCAGTCATTGATCAGTCAGCGATCAGCTAGAGATCAGCTAGCGATCAGTCAGCGATCAGTCATTGATCAGTCAGCCATCAGCTAGCGATCAGTCAGCCACCAGTCAGTAAACAGTCATCAATCAGCGACGGCAGCAGCTCACCGTAAGACCTGCATTTCATTCTTGAAGGCCTGCAGCTGCTCAGGCGTGGGCTCTTTGACCTTCAGGATCTTGATGGCCACGTCTCCATGCCACTTGCCCTTGAAGACGGTCCCAAAGGAGCCGGTACCTATTCTCTTCTGCAAGGTGACTTCTCGATACGGGACCTCCCAGTAGTAACTAGAGTCTCTGTAGCCTCCTCGGTGCTGAAGCAACACAAAGCAGAGCCTTTACTCTCTGACACCTTCTCCGCCCTCCATCAGCTTAGGATCAACTCCTACCACTTTCTTCTTGTCGTCGGACGAAGAGGTTTTACGCTCCTTGTGCTCTAAGGGGGACCTCTGTGGCTTCCTCCCTGGAGAGCCCAGAGAGGAGGGCGGGCTGGCGGAGGGTTTTGGTGAGGGCTCAGGACCTGCAGGGAGAGGAAAGCGTTAAAGCCACAGCGTTTAAGACCAGTGAAACTTAAAGGATGAAAGCAGAGGTGGGGAGGAGATTTACCGATTGTGTTGTATTTCAGAGCTTCCTGTAAAGTGGAGAAACAGCATTAAAACCATGCAGAACATGTTGGGCTTCCAGACCGGGCCCCAGCAGTGGACTGACCTCTATGATGGCCACATTAGCAGGGTCCAAGGTGCTAACCATGTGAACATTGGGAGTTGAGGTGGAGCGATGTCTCTGTAGAGACTGGCCGTCTCCCCCTGTTGTTGGAAAGTTGAAGGTCGGGGACAGGAGGCCTGTTCTGAAGCCATCAAGAACAGTTTCTGTTTCATTATCGGCTCCTTTTAGCTCTGATGCTTTAGTTGTGCTTCAGGACTTACCCAGCAGGCTCTGGGGTTAGGACCAGGTTGCTCTGTGAGGGAGAGTTTTCAGGCAATAGTATCTGAGGATAATCATCTGTGCAGGGATTGGCATCACACCTACACACAGCATTGAGGGAACGAGAGAAACCTGGTCAGCATTTCCTCCAAGCACTACCTCGCTCTATCCCACCTTTAAATATTTACGTCTTCATTAATGTCTTCGAACACCAGGTATCGGCCTAGGGAGGAAAAACCAACTACTGGGCATCGGAAGCAGCAGCTAAAACTACGCCTGGTTCTGTTGAATGTCCCTTTCCACTGTCACCACGTGCTTGTCCAGGATGAAACGGCTGCAGAGTGCGAATGCCAGCGTTTACAGGCTGGCATCATGTTGCTAATCTGACCTTCACAGGGCGCCATGCTACTGAATATGAAGCCATTTTTAACTGGAAATCAATCTGCCAATCCAAACATCCATCATCCACCAGAAGCAGGATGTTTTTATAGTGCAACAGGTCCGACTCACCGCTTGGTCACTGTATCCATGTCAACACACACCGTAGGCACTTTGCTGCTGCAGTGCTGGTGGAACTTGTAGCCACACGTCTGACATCTGAAGCCATTAAAAAGAAACTTGTGGCAAAAATCACAGTAAGCCAGTTTGAAAAAGGTTTTCCGTACCTATGGAGAGAGAGACGCATGCAGATGTTCACCTCTGGATGCACAACAAGAAGCTCCTAGACAGGCAGCGAACTTACAAAGTTATGCATGGTGAGAGGAATGTCATCCAGCACTTCCACCAGCAGCTCCTCTCCAACCAGAGGAGTGATGTCCGTGTCCCAGTCTGTCAGCCTCTTCCGACTGGGAAATGGAAACAAACAAGTTCACCAAACATTAGATTTACTGCATTCAACCACAAAAAATAGGTTTTAAATTCGTTATTAAACTCTGCAGTTCTGCTGACTGGGACTCATGAAGACCAGCAGCCGTTGGCCAATCAAATCTCAGTAAATGTGATGATGGGAGACGGAGGTGATTGTGACCATTTTAACCAGACTAGTGTTTTCTCAGTTTAAATTAGCGTTTGGCTGCGTCTCCTTCATCCCCCAGATGACGGCTTGTCAGCAGTGAAACCATCATTTCCATTTCTAAGGTGCAGCAGTGATCGGCCATCTTACCCTTCCAGCAGGCGGAACACGGCGCAGCAGTCCTGGCTCAGGCCTCTCACCTTCAGCGCTTTATTAAGACTCTCGTAGACCGTCTGTCCTTGGCGGACGTTCACCTGCCAACAGCAGCAGAAGGTTCACCATCAGCTCACCAATAACCTTCACCAGGCTTTTCCAGCTCTGCTCTAGAGATTCATTCCTGGTGTGATTTCACTAGCCACGTTTCCATGGTAACGTTAGCACTGTGAACCCCTGTTTCCTATCCACAGCTAAAGTGAAAAACATTGTTTAATAACTAGAATTATTTTAATGTTCCCAATGTCAGAAGAAGCAGATCTAGGTTCTGGCGTGGCCTAGCCAGTCTACAGACCTAAACCCAATAGAGAAGCTTTGGAGGGAGCGACAGAAACCTGATCTACAGTAGATCTGTGTGGAGGAGTGGGCCAAAATCCCTCCTGCAGTGTGCAAACCGCCTTTGACCTCTAATGGCTAAGGACCTGTAGAAGATCAGACCGAGTCCTCAGGTTCCCTGAATACTCTAAGGACCTGTAGAAGATCAGACCGAGTCCTCATGTTCCCTGATTACTCTAAGGACCTGTAGAAGATCAGACCGAGTCCTTATGTTCCCTGATTACTCTAAGGACCTGTAGAAGATCAGACCGAGTCCTCATGTTCCCTGAATACTCTAAGGACCTGTAGAAGATCAGACCGAGTCCTCAGGTTCCCTGATTACTCTAAGGACCTGTAGAAGATCAGACCGAGTCCTCAGGTTCCCTGAATACTCTAAGGACCTGTAGAAGATCAGACCGAGTCCTCATGTTCCCTGAATACTCTAAGGACCTGTAGAAGATCAGACCGAGTCCTCAGGTTCCCTGATTACTCTAAGGACCTGTAGAAGATCAGACCGAGTCCTCAGGTTCCCTGAATACTCTAAGGATCTGTAGAAGATCAGACCGAGTCCTCATGTTCCCTGATTACTCTAAGGACCTGTAGAAGATCAGACCGAGTCCTCATGTTCCCTGAATACTCTAAGGACCTGTAGAAGATCAGACCGAGTCCTCAGGTTCCCTGATTACTCTAAGGACCTGTAGAAGATCAGACCGAGTCCTCAGGTTCCCTGATTACTCTAAGGACCTGTAGAAGATCAGACCGAGTCCTCAGGTTCCCTGAATACTCTAAGGATCTGTAGAAGATCAGACCGAGTCCTCAGGTTCCCTGATTACTCTAAGGACCTGTAGAAGATCAGACCGAGTCCTCAGGTTCCCTGAATACTCTAAGGACCTGTAGAAGATCAGACCGAGTCCTCATGTTCCCTGATTACTCTAAGGACCTGTAGAAGATCAGACCGAGTCCTCAGGTTCCCTGATTACTCTAAGGACCTGTAGAAGATCAGACCGAGTCCTCAGGTTCCCTGAATACTCTGAGGACCTGTAGACGATCAGACTGAGTCCTCAGGTTCCCTGATTACTCTAAGGATCTGTAGAAGATCAGACCGAGTCCTCAGGTTCCCTGATTACTCTAAGGACCTGTAGAAGATCAGACCGAGTCCTCAGGTTCCCTGATTACTCTAAGGACCTGTAGAAGATCAGACCGAGTCCTCATGTTCCCTGAATACTCTAAGGATCTGTAGAAGATCAGACCGAGTCCTCAGGTTCCCTGATTACTCTAAGGACCTGTAGAAGATCAGACCGAGTCCTCAGGTTCCCTGATTACTCTAAGGACCTGTAGAAGATCAGACCGAGTCCTCAGGTTCCCTGAATACTCTGAGGACCTGTAGACGATCAGACTGAGTCCTCAGGTTCCCCGATTACTCTAAGGACCTGTAGAAGATCAGACCGAGTCCTCAGGTTCCCTGAATACTCTGAGGACCTGTAGACGATCAGACCGAGTCCTCAGGTTCCCTGATTACTCTAAGGACCTGTAGAAGATCAGACCGAGTCTGAATCTTGTTGCTTGTGACTCGTGCAGATGACGTGTATACGTTAGATCAGTGGTCGCCAACTCGTCGATTGCGATCGACTGGTAGATCTTTGAAACATTCCCTGTAGATCCCGATAACAAAATAAAGCTTGAGAATTAACTTTCGCAAAATGACAATTTACGGTGCTAGCTGTCAAGCCAGACATTTGATAGGTGACAGCGGACGTGGTCAGCTGGTAGCCGGTGGCATCTCCGAGAAAAACGTCAAAAACTTATCATTTCCATGAGGAATGGGAAGAGGAATTTATTTTCACCATGGTGACAAACAAGTGTATGCTGTGCCACCAAACACTTGCTCGGTCTAAAAGAGGAAATCTGGAGCGACACCACAACACCAACCACGTCAAAGACAGTTTCCCCGCCAAGAGCGCAATCCGCGCTAGAAAAGTTGCTGAGCTGAAAGTGACTTTGAAGACCCAGCAGTGACTTTTCACTAAACCTGTTGCTCAACATAAGGCTGCGACTGAAGCTTCATTCCGTATTAGTCACCTTTTAGCTAAACACAAGAAGCCTTTTACAGATTAATGAAGGAGGCAATGGCCATCACTGCAGATACGGTTTTCAACAGCTTCAGCATCAAAGACGACATTAAAACGGCGCTCTGCAGTATCCAGCTTGGCCCGGACACTGTTGCGGGGGGTTGAGGAAACGTCAGCTGACATGGATCGAAAAGTGCTAACTGATTTGTCACACTGTGAATATTTTTCACTCCAGTTTGGTGAATCCCTGGATGTAATGGACACAGCTCAGCTGGGTGTATTTGTCAGGATGGCGTTCCCGGACTCTACAAAGAAAGAGGATCTTCTCTTTTGCATTTAACGGAAAGAACAAGAGGTGAGGATATTTAAACTATGTCTGTGATAATGACTTCCCGATTGACAAACAGGTGGCAGTTACCACTGATGGAGCTCCAGCGATGCACGGCGTGCGCTCTGGATTTATTGCGTTGTGTCGTAATGACAGCGATTTTCCCGACTTTGTAAATTACCACTGTGTCATTCACCAGCAGACTTTGGCGGGAAAGGTTGTGAACTTTAATCATGTTATGACTGTGGTGGTCAGACTGATCAACTCAACTAGAGCAAAAGCGCTTCAGCGCCGCTTAATCAGAGCATTAATGGATGAGCTCCATGCCGCGTACGGAGACCTTCTCCTCCACGCTCCTCCAGTTTGATTTGCTCCTTACAATGTTTCCTTCATTGCATTAATTTGTCCCGTTGGACCAAAACATTTATGTAATTCAAAAACAGTTGTTTAATGAGTTGATTCGTAAATAAAAGGCTTCAAGTTTGAAGTAGAATCTTCTTTTATTGCAGCTCCTCTGCAGGTAGATCTTGCTTCCCACCAAAGTGGAGGTTGAGGATGTTGGGCTTAAAAAGGTTGGAGACCTTAAAGCTCATCAGCCTTTCTCAGCTCATCCAGATCCGTCAGTTTGTCCAGAGCTATGGTGAGCAGAGTTTATTTGTTTACTTCCATCTCTGTTCCACACAAATTAAAACAATTTCCCAAACTTAACTTTGAGAAATTATGAAAATGTATTAAAATGAATTAAAAATTAAGCAGTGCAGCTCCAAAACAAAGCCTCACCTAATGAGTCTGAGCAGCATCTCAAACCAGAACAGATTTATATTAAACATAGGATGAGAAAAGGACCCGTTTTTCCAGTGTAGTCCTGTTTCTCTGACTGTGACTAACTGGATGTGCTCTCTTCATCCTCTGACATGGGAGCTGGCTCGGAGCTCGTCTGCCTGGCTGTGTGTTTCCTGGACGGGGCCGCCTGTGGAGCCTTTTGTATCTATGCTTCTTTTTCTATGTCTTCATCTGACTGGAAGATCTGGTTGATCTGGATCTATAAAGTGCCTTAAAATCAAACATATCCGACTCAATAACCATTAAATCAACCATTTGCATTCATTTCAGATGGAACTATTCCCATTCTAGAACTAGAGGATAGAGCAGCGTGCTGCGCTCTGAGAAGGCTGCAGTACCCGGTTCCATCCCCACAGACTGCCACTCTGGGTCCCTGAGTAAGACCCTTAACGCCCTACTGCACTCCCTGAGCGCCGCACCATGGCAGCCCCCCGCTCCCTGAGAGCCGCACCATGGCAGCCCCCCGCTCCCTGAGCGCCGCACCATGGCAGCTCCCCGCTCCCTGAGCGCCGCACCATGGCAGCCCCCCGCTCCCTGAGCGCCGCACCATGGCAGCTCCCCGCTCCCTGAGCGCCGCACCATGGCAGCCCCCCGCTACCTGAGCGCCGCACCATGGCAGCTCCCCGCTCCCTGAGCGCCGCACCATGGCAGCCCCCCGCTCCCTGAGCGCCGCACCATGGCAGCTCCCCGCTCCCTGAGCGCCGCACCATGGCAGCCCACTTCTCCCCAAGGGGAGGGGTTAAATGCAGAGGGTTTATTTCTCCATTGTGAGATCATTAAGGGATATACATTTTTTACATCAATTTAGTTCATGTTTCACTAGTTTAGGGAATATTTTTTAATTGCGGTGTGTTTGACTTGGAGCTGAATATTTTGGTTATTAAATGATTATCTTCTAATGGAAGTTGAGGTGAATTTATTCCATTTATGTGCAGATTGATCAGTTTGACCATAATAGAGCTGGTTTGACTTTTACTGTTGTTCTAATACACAGCCAGTAGGGGGCGTGTGTTCGGAAACTATATATGACCCTCCTAATACTAATAAATTAACCCCCCAGCAGGGGAGCCAGTATATCATAATTACACAATAATAGATTGAATTAATATTGCAGTGAAATTAAAAGTTGTTTCCGGTATTATTTCATAGTTGGTTTGAAGTTGGAACGATACATAGATTCATGTATCAATAATAATCTATATTTATATATGATAAATTCATCATGTTTGGTTCAAATGGTATAGAACTAAAAGTTCTAGATTCAAAAGTTCTAGATCCAACTGATTATGGGTTTAAGCTGGACTTGATTCTATGTGCAGAAATATGTGTGACTGAGCTGCAAGCAGCTTAGAGGAAACATTGCCTGCAAAGACCTTTGAGGCATCTGCCTAAGAATGGCAGCGCCGCCCTCTAGTGGCCGGCGGTGACATTACAGCACACACAGCAGAGATGGATCAAAGAGGTGGAAGGTGATCATTTATTAACATCCATGGGCTGATTAACCTTTAATCAGTGACCTCAGAACAATCAAGGAACCAATCAGAGCAGAGCTCCATGGTGACCTGGTTTGAGTCTGTGACACATCTTTCCAACATAAATCCCTTCCCACAATCTAACAAAGATAGATATTTCTAATAGATGCTGCCTTCATGCCTTCAGAATAGGACCTGTGTTTAATGATGGAGGATAAATTACACCGCCGCCGTTATTAGACCGCTACAGGCTTTTATTGTGAAGGGTTGGATCATAGATAAAGATCATAGAATGTGGTAAACCACATGAAGGAAAGAGGGAAAGCTGCTGGTTAAACGTCTATAAAAGGTGCTGTCACTATAGCACCGCTAATACAAGGACTACATAGAGCTGTTTCCATAGAATGTGCTCTGCAGCCAAGCTGGATCGCTGCTCTAGCCTGATCAGCTGCTTTGGATTCATTAGTGGTTCAACGTCTCCTCACAGCCGCCCTGAAGCACTGATGGTGTCCTCAAACCGGCTGGAACCGGTTCTGGCAGAAGCTTCAGGTCTCCCTGATATCAGCTGTAGGGGTGGAAATAATAATCGTTTTCTATCGATGCATCGATCCAACAGCCGACCATCAGATGCATCGACACGTCCGCAACTGTAGCGACTCATTTTTTTTCCTCCGGTCTATTTTTATCCATTTGCTCCTGGGTGTAATTCTCCTCCCGTGCTGCGGTGGCGCTAAACGTATTTTGCCCTCCTACCTCGCTTCCTCGTTATACTCTTACAGCAGTGTGTTGCAGTGAGCGTGATGCAGACATTTTTGATTTATGCTCAGTATTGAAGCGTGGTCTGAGTTACATGCTGTGGGTCTAGATACGGCCGAGGCGGCGAGGAACGGAGGGACGTGAGGGCCAAAAAGAGCGGAGATCCAGGTGGAAAAAGGGTCCCAGCGTTCTCGCGCACCTCGCTCTTCTAGCAGGTCAAACTTCACGAGTTGATTTCCGCAATTGCGGTCATAAAATCTGCGGTCAGCTAAAGTTTGGGAGAGGAGCAGCGGCCCGTCTGCGGAGAAGTGCCTTTCAGAATCTATAACGCAGGATTTTATCATTTTTCAGTGAATGAGGTTTTAATAGGAATAGGTGGAGTACAACTTTTCAACTTCTGTTATTTGCTGTTGTTTCTCAAATAAAATGCATAACGATATCACAGCTTTCATTGATATATTTCAAATTTGAAACATTGCGTGTAAGGTAAAAAAATAAATGAACGTATTAAAGGAATCGATCGTGGTTTATTCTTGAGTATCGAAAATAATCGAATCGCCATGATGGGTGTGATTTCCACCCCTAATCAGCTGTAGATAAAGTTTCCACGCCTGTGGAGACGCAGCCAGGCTTCAGGGATCGATGGCGTGCTGATTAGAGAGAGACATGGCTGCCAGCCACCTGCTGTTTAAAGGAGCAAAGGATTCTGGGATGCAAACAAATGGTGCATTAGATTGGAACTACGTCCTGATTAACTGCTGACAACCTGCTTTCACTGCTGTTGCCGTCCAGTAGAGGGCGCCACTGTTAACCCCTAGCAAAGCCAGAGCAGACGCCGTCCAAGGAGTCTGCTGTGGGATTATTTTACATCTTTAATTGCAACAAGGATGCATAACTCTGCTAAAATGCTTCTGACTCTAGATATAAAGACTCCAGAAGCTCCTCATTGGTCAAATAAAGTCAACTGCCCCCTTCTCAGCCAAAAACCACCAATAATCAGCAAAGGAAAAAGCACAGAGCGTTCTAACTAGAGCCGCACTGATCCAATAACACCAGCGGTCCAATAGTGGAACAGATTCTAGGTCTGATATCTGTGAAATGGGCCACATCTAGTTAGTGTATTTCAGTCATAGAGCTAGTTTAAAACTAAATTAATCTAAAAAAAAAAATTACAATTTAATTTGGAAAAAAAAAATAAAAAAGGTGACTTTGGGTTTTTGGCATAAAGCTTGAGGCTGAGCTGGAAGAGGCGGAGGATTGATGCATCACTCATTCCAACATGGAAGGAAAGACGTGGCGTGTTCACGCTCTCACCGCATGGCGGCTAACGCGCCATCCTGACGCCATCTTTAATCTGACACTTTCTCTGTTCAACATGTTTATATCTGTAAAGCTTTTTATTTTCCTAATAGGTTTGTTTTCATTCACTCAGTATTTAACACAGCTGGAAGTAAAATGAGTTTGAGGCGAAAATCTCCCTGAATTATGGATTAAACTATTAAAAAGAAGGAGGTGAACAGTGGGAGGAAACATGGAGGAAACCTCCAGGCGCCATCCGTGAAATCTGACACCAGCCGGCTCACTGAAACGCTGTGAAAGATGTCAGTTTCTCTGAGTTATTACACTTTTGGTTTCCGTGGAAACAGTGGTGTGAAAGCGTCGGCCTGGTGACGACCTGACAGGAGGAGATAAAAGCAGCCGACTCACCACCGTCCTCTGCTTGTTGGGTAGGTAGACTCTGATAGTGCCGCCGCCGCGGGGAACATCCTCCGGACTGGTCTCCCCCGAGGAGGAGTACGAGGAGGAGGTGGAGGACATGGTGAGAAACAGGAGGAGTGGGGGTGGGGATGGGGGCTCAGAAATGAAGATACTGCAACCTTAGAAGAGCTGCATGCAGGGGGGGGGTCTGGATAAGTCCTCACTTCCAACCTGCAACAACAAACCGCTTGGATTCAGAAATACTTTAATAATCCCAAAAACGAAATTACTTTAGTTACACGTTACAGTTTTATATATATATATACACATCTATCCAACTACACGATAAAGATAAAATACATACACATATAGCTCTTCTGTATATATATATATATATATATATATATATATATATATATGCATATGTAAAAACTAAATCCAAGTAAAGTGATACGTGATGTGCAAAAATAGTGCATAAATGTCAATTATAAGGGGGGGGGGTGTTTGAATCACTGAGGGAGGCGTTATAGAGGTTGATGACCACAGGTAGGAATGGTTTCCTGTGGTGCATCTGGGTGGGAGGAGTCTCCTGCTGAAGGAGCTCGTCTGCTGGACCAGTGCATCATAGAGAGGATGAGAGACATTGTCTAAGATGGACTGAAACCTGGACAGCATCCTCCTCTCTGCCACGGTGGTCAGGGTGTCCAGCTGCTCCCCCACAGCATCACCGGCCCTCTTGATCAGTTTGTTCAGCCTGTTGTTTTCAGCGACCCTCAACCCACTGCCCATAAAACATCCTCAGCATCGTCCCACAGATGCTAACGGACTTCAGCCTCCTCAGGAAGAATAGTCGGCTTTGGCCCTTTTTGTAGACCGCCTCGGTGTTTCTAGTCCAGTCCAACTTGTTGTTAAAGTACACTCCCAGGTACTTATACTCCTCCACAGGGTCAACAGGAACCCCCTGGATGGAGACAGGGGTCACAGGTGTTTTTGTCCTCCTCAGATCAACTATGAGCTCCTTAGTCTTTATCACATTGAGCTGCAGGTGGTTCAGCTCACTCCAAGTGACAAAGTTGCCCACCACAGTCCTGTATTCACTCTCCTCACCCTTTTCAATGCAGCCAACAATTGCTGAGTCATCAGAAAACTTCTGAAGGTGGCAGGACTCAGAGCAATAGCTGAAGTCTGAGGTGAAAAGGGTGAAGAGGAAGGGGGAGAGGACAGTCCCCTGGGGGGCCCCAGTGTTGCTGACCACAGACACACAGTTCTGTAGGCGTACATACTGTGGTCTGCCCGTCAGGTAATCAACAATCCAGGACACGATGGGGGCCTCCACCTGCATCGCAGTCATCTTCTCACCTAGTAGAGCCGGGCGGATGGTGTTGAAGGCGCTGGAGAAATCAAAGAACAGGATTCTCACTGTGCTCGCTGGCTTGTCCAGGTGATTGTAGGAAGATGATGCTGTCCTCAACTCCCAGACGGGGCCGGTAGGTGAACTGTAGTGGATCAGTGAAGGGCCTGACCTTGGGCCTTAGCCACTCCAGGACTAGCCTCTCTAAGGTCTTCATTATATGGGACGTCAGTGCTACCAGTCTGTAGTCCTGAGGGTTGCTAGGCACCGAAACGAGGCAGGATTAGATCCACAGGAGCTAAAGATCTGGACAGTGTCTCCACCACAGGGCACCGTTCTGGACCACAGAGGGAAACCATAAGGTGGAGCTGCTGAACAGAAACCAGGATCTCTAGACATTCCAGATCTAGAACATCAGGAACAAACTTATGATCTTGATGATTCAGCAAAGACCTGAAACTGTGGAGGCACCAGAATCAAATAACGGTGTTTAGGTCCGTCGCCCTTCATCATAAACATGAATCAGATAATCTCAATAAAAACTGCCTGGAAGTTGGTTTAGATCAACACAGCAGATTCATCCAAGGCTACATTCACAATTCTTAACACTTTACTATTAGGCCGCTGTCCTGCAGGGCCTCCGTCCTGCAAGTCTTAGAGGGCCTCCGTCCTGCGGGTCTTAGAGGGCCTCCGTCCTGCGGGTCTTAGAGGGCCTCCGTCCTGCGGGTCTTAGAGGGCCTCCGTCCTGCAAGTCTTAGAGGGCCTCCGTCCTGCAAGTCTTAGAGGGCCTCCGTCCTGCAAGTCTTAGAGGGCCTCCGTCCTGCGGGTCTTAGAGGGCCTCCGTCCTGCGGGTCTTAGAGGGCCTCCGTCCTGCGGGTCTTAGAGGGCCTCCGTCCTGCAGGGGCTCCGTCCTGCGAGTCTTAGAGGGCCTCCGTCCTGCAAGTCTTAGAGGGCCTCCGTCCTGCAAGTCTTAGAGGGCCTCCGTCCTGCAAGTCTTAGAGGGCCTCCGTCCTGCGGGTCTTAGAGGGCCTCCGTCCTGCAGGGGCTCCGTCCTGCAAGTCTTAGAGGGCCTCCGTCCTGCGGGTCTTAGAGGGCCTCCGTCCTGCGGGTCTTAGAGGGCCTCCGTCCTGCGGGTCTTAGAGGGCCTCCGTCCTGCGGGTCTTAGAGGGCCTCCGTCCTGCGGGTCTTAGAGGGCCTCCGTCCTGCAGGGGCTCCGTCCTGCGAGTCTTAGAGGGCCTCCGTCCTGCAAGTCTTAGAGGGCCTCCGTCCTGCAAGTCTTAGAGGGCCTCCGTCCTGCGGGTCTTAGAGGGCCTCCGTCCTGCGGATCTTAGAGGGCCACTGTCCTGCAGGGGCTCCGTCCTGCAAGTCTTAGAGGGCCTCCGTCCTGCGGGTCTTAGAGGGCCTCCGTCCTGCGGATCTTAGAGGGCCACTGTCCTGCAAGTCTTAGAGGGCCTCCGTCCTGCGGGTCTTAGAGGGCCTCCGTCCTGCAAGTCTTAGAGGGCCTCCGTCCTCCGGGTCTTAGAGGGCCTCCGTCCTGCGGGTCTTAGAGGGCCTCCGTCCTGCAGGGGCTCCGTCCTGCGAGTCTTAGAGGGCCTCCGTCCTGCAAGTCTTAGAGGGCCTCCGTCCTGCGGGTCTTAGAGGGCCTCCGTCCTGCGGGTCTTAGAGGGCCACTGTCCTGCAGGGGCTCCGTCCTGCAAGTCTTAGAGGGCCACTGTCCTGCAGGGGCTCCGTCCTGCAAGTCTTAGAGGGCCTCCGTCCTGCGGGTCTTAGAGGGCCTCCGTCCTGCGGGTCTTAGAGGGCCTCCGTCCTGCGGGTCTTAGAGGGCCTCCGTCCTGCGGATCTTAGAGGGCCTCCGTCCTGCAGGGGCTCCGTCCTGCGAGTCTTAGAGGGCCTCCGTCCTGCAAGTCTTAGAGGGCCTCCGTCCTGCGGGTCTTAGAGGGCCTCCGTCCTGCGAGTCTTAGAGGGCCTCCGTCCTGCGAGTCTTAGAGGGCCTCCGTCCTGCGAGTCTTAGAGGGCCTCCGTCCTGCGAGTCTTAGAGGGCCTCCGTCCTGCGAGTCTTAGAGGGCCTCCGTTCTGTGAGTCTTAGAGGGCCTCCGTCCTGTGAGTCTTAGAGGGCCTCAGTCCTGTGAGTCTTAGAGGGCCTCAGTCCTGTGAGTCTTAGAGGGCCTCAGTCCTGCGAGTCTTAGAGGGCCTCCATCCTGTGAGTCTTAGAGGGCCTCAGTCCTGCAGGTTTATATAGATTTAGGGTAATATAGATTTAAGGTGGATAATATAGATTTAAGGTGGGTAATATAGATTTAAGGTGGATAATATAGATTTAAGGTGGGTAATATAGATTTAAGGTGGGTAATATAGATTTAAGGTGGGTAATATAGATTTAAGGTGGGTAATATAGATTTACGGTGGGTAATATAGATTTACGTTGGGTAATATAGATTTACGTTGGGTAATATAGATTTAAGGTGGATAATACACATATGGTTTTGGCAGTGTACATTTAGATGGTAGCAGGTGAGGAAAAAAATATAAAAGAAACTTTGAACCATTAAGGAGTAAAAAAGGGTTTTTGTTTCTCTGTGTGGCGAGAAACAACAAAACACTAAACTAAACGAACCAAACCTAGATCAGCTGATCCAGACGCTGCTGCCTGCGTCCTCACTAGAACTATAGAAAGTAGATCAGACAGCTGATCCAGACGCTGCTGCCTGCGTCCTCACTAGAACTATAGAAAGTAGATCAGGCAGCTGATCCAGACGCTGCTGCCTGCGTCCTCACTAGAACTAGCTAAGTAGAAGAGGCATCTGCAGCTGATCTAGATGCTGCAGACCCTGCAGATCTAACTGATGGACTCTAACTGCCTCCAAGCATCTTCTTTGATCTTTCATTATTTCACCAATAATCTTGAAGGTTTTCAGTTTTACAGCCAATCCAACCATCTGTCTCTCAAACATGTTGGATTGGATTCTTTGTTTTGAACATGCAAGAGAAAAACAATAAAATAATGTTTAAAAACATTGAATAGAGAAACATTAAACTCGGTTCCCTTCTTTCCTGAATGGATATACCTCTATTAGATGTGCGAAAAGAAGTAGGAAGAAATAAAGGTGCTCCTACACCTTTAATTCTTGTATTTTTTTCAATTTACAATATTTATAATTAAGTTGCTATATATATATATATATATATATATAAATACATACCTACCTAGACATTTACATACATAAATATATATACACATATACCTTCATACATATATACAAATAAACAAAACTTTCTACAATGCTCCTCTAACCTTTTGAAAATAATTTCTTTGTACATTTTATTGAAAAGGAATATGTTTGGGCATTGCTTTAGTTTGTTCCACAACTTAACAAATTAATGAACAGAATCTTTTAATGTTGGAAACCGATTGTGCAGAAAATAATAACAATAATAATAACAATAATATACTCAGCATATTTTTCCAGGTGTGATTTGTGCATCTTTCCATTTTACTTTACATAATTTATCTGTCCAGATTAATAACTTTGATCTGTTATTACCCACCCCCCATTGTTCAGCATAGCTCCACATCAGGCATCATTTATTGCAATCTGAGCAAACTAAATCTAATATAATTATGCTAACTCCATGTTTCCTGCCTGCTGTAAACAGGATTTATAAGCTCTTTAACTGATTATAGATTATTGCCTGATTATTGATAATAACGGGAGCCGCCCTGCAGCTTGGCCTAGAGATGCTGCAGCAGATAAACACCAGTTCAAAACCATCTGGACTTAGTCCAAACGCAGCAGGTCTATGATCAGAGTCTATGATCAGAGTCGATGATCTCGGAGTCTAAACGCAGCAGGAGTCTATGATCTCGGAGTCTAAACGCAGC